TTTTCTAAAGGCTACATATTAATTTGTATTTTGCAAATATATCACTACCCAAAAAACAATGTTCCGTATTTTACCTATTATATACTAGTTTGGGGTGAACAACCCTTAAAATTTGGATAAGGAAAGTACCTACCAAGAGTGGGACATTTTTGAAAAGGTAAATTACATTTCAATTTTGTTAGTGTTTTAAGTTTATCTACTTTCTAAAAAAGTAATAAACTGTAAAATTGATTTTTTAAAGATTTATTAAAACGTTAATTTAACAGATGTTGAAAATATGACCCATTGGCAACATTTTGTAGAATTTCAGGTGTTATTCTCCTGCACTCAGCTATTATCCGTTGGCGAAGATCTTCTATGGAATTAGGCTTCGTAGCAAAACATTTATTTTTCAAGTGTCTCCAAAGAAAATAATCCAGAGGCGATAAATCCGGTGACCTTGCAGGCCATTCAATTGGGCCTCTCCTTCCAATCCATTGTCCAGGGTACCGGTTATTTAAAAATTCTCTTACAGCACCAACATAGTGTGGAGGTGCTCCATCTTGCTGGAAATGAAATTGATTAACATCATGATTTGGGTCATTTTCTAATATTTTTGTTATAAGAAGGTCAATTTCATCTTCAAGCATATTTAGGTACCCTTCACCAGCTAAATTTCCAGGAATGAAAAGTGGTCCTACAATATGGTTACCTAATATGCACACCAGACATTTATTTTTTCAGGGTGTTGGATATGATAGTCACGGAATAAATGTGGGTTACTATCATCCCAGTAAAGGCAATTATGCCTATTGAAAGCTCCGTTCAAATGAAATGTAAACTCATCGGAAAAACAAATATTCAACAATAAGTCAGGATCTGCAAGCACAACAATCCAGCCTTTTACTAATCTAGTTTTGTACGGATGAAATTTGTGAGCTTTTAAAATCCTTATTATAGATTAACGAGAGACAATCGAGACTACAGCTAGTTGACGAGTAGGTTTTGTCCTTTCTTCCATCAAAATGCAGACTTTTTATTCTTCTGTTATCACTTTCAAACTCCTTCTTTGCGGTATTTCTAGATTTCTTTCGCTCTCTTCTCAATTTATTTTTATCAACTGTTTCCGACGGATCTTTTGTGGGAATTATTTCTACATCTTTTAATACTGCACTAGCAATCGCAGCAGCTGATGGATCAGATATACCATATTTATCGCATACAAGACCTAAAGTAGGTGATTTTATTCTCATTTGAGTGTTTTTTTGAGGTAGACGATAAGTTTGGATTGATACAATCTGAAGAGGATTGACATTTTGAGGGGTCAGATTCTGACTCTGGCAATAATAATAATAATAATAATAAATCGTCTTTATTAAGGGAAAATAATGTATATATGATTACTAAGTTTTTTTTTACAAGGGAATATAAAAAAAAAGGAATAGTGATGCAATAGTGGCGAAGTCTAGCTGTAATAGCTACTCCTACTTAACCACTAAAACACCAATGTATAAAAACAAAAACAAATAAAAACAAATAAAAACAAACAAAAAAAATATATTTGCAATGGAGCAAAAATTCCAATAATTAATTTTTGTTTTTTTTTATTTATTTTTTCTATATAAAGCTAAAAAATAGTATTCAAAAATATAATCAAAAGTAAAAAACTAAAAAGGTCAATTAAATCTAAGCTCAAACAAAATTTTGAACGTAATATTTTTTTAAAGTATTTTTTGAATAAATTTATGTTTAATTTTTTTAATTCTAAAGGAAGAGAGTTGTACAATTTAATAGAATTATATACAAAACTTCTTTTAAATAAGGCTGTTCGATGACGGGGTATTGTGTAAGTTGTGACGTCGCGGAGGTTTCGATCATGAATTGTTTTACGAGTTATAAACTTTTTAATTAGTGGGGAAGAGCTGTCAATGCATTTTATTAATTTATGAAAATAGTTACCTAAATGGAGTGTCCTGCGTTCCTTCATATTAAGCCAATTTAATTCTCGTATTTTAAGAGTAACATGATCATATTTACGAAGATTAAATATTAATTTTGTGCACGAATTTTGAATTTTTTGAATTCTATACTGAGTGTTCAAGTCTAGGCAGGGTCCATAGATAAAATCGCAGTATCTTAGTTTGGACAAGACGAGAGTTTCACTGAGTTTTATACGTAGATTATGATTAAGAATATGCCTGCTGGAGTAAAGTAATTTTAAAGAAAGATAAGCTGAACGGGTAATTTTACCTACATGTTCTCTAAATCTTAAATCTGTATCTAAATATATACCAAGATTTCTAGCTGATTCAACAATTGGCAACTTGGTGTTATTAATATTAATATTAAATTGATTTTTAACAAGTTCCTTTTTATTTTTTGAACCAAAAAACAGAACACAAGATTTCGATGCATTTAGTTTTAAATTATGTTGAAAAGAAAGTTCATAAATAAGTTTAAGATCTTCATTAATAAGTTGATTAGCAGTTAATGAATGGTCGTTTTTAAAACTGTAATATAATTGTGTATCGTCAGCGTAGGCTTGGACTTTACAATATTTTATGGATTTGATAATGCAAGAAGTATAGATTAAGAAAAGGAGCGGTCCCAGGACACTGCCTTGGGGAACACCAGATAAAATATTCATAGAATTCGAAAATGTATTATTGTAACATACACGTTGAGACCTGTTGCCTAAATATGATTTTATCAACGCAACTGCTGCATAATGAAAACCATAATATTTCAATTTTGATACCATCAACCTGTGATCGATGGTGTCAAACGCTTTAGAAAAATCTAAAAGTGTAAGTACAGTAATGTCTCCTTTATCGTAAGCATCAATTATATCACTCGTTACAGTAGTTAGTGCTGTGGATGTGGAATAGCCTTTCCTAAAACCGCATTGGGTATTAGGAAGTATATGTGCCTTACAAGCATACTCGTATATTTGTTTGTATAATACTTTTTCAAATACCTTGGATATAGTTGGTAAGATACTTATGATTCTAAGATCAGAAAAAGTTTGTGGATTAGATTTTTTAGGTAGTGGCCTGCCAATGGCAGTCCGCCACAAATATGGAAAATAACTTTTTTCTATGCAACAGTTAATAATGTGGGTAATGTATTTGATAATAAATGGCGTACAAAGTTTAAGCATTGAAGCCGATATATTATCAACGCCGTAAGCATTAGACCGCAATTCCTTAATAATATTACTTACCTCTTCTAATGTGGCAAGTTTTAATGTAAAAAAATTATTTAAATCATTAATATTGTTGTTATAGAAGTCAATTTGGTTTAGACAATCCCCAGATACACACTGTAAGAATTTACAAAAGTAATTATTAATTTTTTCGGGATCAGCTAAATTATTAGGTAAATCACATGATTTTGCAATTTTTACATTAAAATCGGTTAAAGTAGACCAGAGCTTTTTTGGATTTTTGTGATCTTTAGCTAACATGTCTAAATACGCCTTTTTCTCCCTACGAATACAACTTAAAGCAAAATTACGAAGCTGTTTATAATCTTCCCAGTGTGCTGCTGAGCGGGATTGTTTAAATTTTTGAAGAGCTTTATCCCTTTGTTTCATAATACATTTCAAATTTGTGGTCAGCCAAGGAGCTTTAGGCTTACTTACTTTAACAGTTCTTCTAGGGGCATGAACATCGAACACCGATAAGATAAATTGATTAAACAAGTCAATCTTTCTGTCAATATCATCTTCCCTTAAAAACTTGTGCCATGGCATTTTTTCTAAATCTTCAATAAATTCATTTGGATTAAAGTTTCTAAAAGATCTTATGTCAAGTAATTTAGGCTTGATTTTTGGTTTTACAACGTTTAATTCACAATAAGTTAAAGAATGGTCAGATATATGGTTAGTTGGTAACGTTCCACAAGAAGATACTAATTCTGTACAAGAAACGAAAATAGGATCAATAAGTTTACGTGTATGTAGTGTTATTCTAGTTGGCTCAGTAATAATTTGTTTTAGATTGTATGACTCTAAACAAGAGTTTACAGGATAATGTAGTAGTTTGAGAGGAACACCTCTGTCTTAATAAATTACAATATTCTGATCCATATTTTTTTAGTCTTTTGATCTCTTTGGATTGCCTTTATTTGACAATATTTTCTTCTGACTGATCTTTGATCAGAAAGAAAATTTTGTTCCTTATTAGGTACTTTCCGGGTCTTTTCACAAATGCATGCAGAAAAATCGCATTTACAAGCAGCTATGCCAAGTAATTTTTTATGACACTATTTCAAATGTATTATCTCATCACAATATTCAACAGGTTTTTAATAGTATTTTGTATGTCATCAAGAATGTTTTCGTAGTTTGATCCAAATATTGCTCTTATAGAACTACCCCTGAGGTATCCCCTTTCTAACAAAAAAAATCCTAGAAATCGGACTACCTGGTAAAGAATTATCTCTGAAAATACATAAAAAATGAAGAGTTTGATGATTTTCTTATGGACCCCTTTATTAGATCTTGACCAAATCTATACGGGACTACCCCCGAGGTTCGCTCTTTCTAACAACAAAAGAATCATAAAAATAAAACATACATAAAAAAATATATTCCGACGAATTGAGAACCTCCTCCTTTTTTCAAGTCGGTTAAAAATAGCCCGCGAAGGCTGTTTTGTTAAATAATTTATAAAAAAAATGAACTACAAAATATAATTAATTTTATAAAATCCCATCTTATTATCTTAAAACAAAGCAGTTCGTTATGAATTAGCTAACAACTTTACACCAGTTTTTATCAAAAACTATTGATAGTTTTGATGTCAATTTACCCAGTAATTGTATAACGTTCTGATAATGACTAATGAATATTATTATTTTGTGTCAAAAAAAGAATATTCTTGAACAATTATTAACTACCATTATCAACCAATTACATAGTCATATTTATTATCATTTATGAGTTATTATCCAGGTACAATAAAAATAAATTTAAAAGGATTAATAATGAAGTAAAAGTATAAAAACCCATTAAAGAAATTATATTTCGCTATATCTAATCTTTCCTTCGTTAAAATGTTAAAAGTGACTTTAGGAATTTTACTGTGTTTTCTGTTGTTTCGATTAGCCGCGTTCGCTTACACAGAAGAAGACGTCGATTATTATGAACGTTTATTGAAAACATCTTTTAAAAAGTCACAGACATATCAACTGCATAGAAGTGCGACGAAATATCGAGCCCTGAGAAATTCGCCTCCTAAAGGTATTTTTATATTTATTTTTTACTTTCACATAATGGAACGTGTTTACATATACAGGGTGCATATTAATAATAATAATAAAATGCCTTTATTTGCTTGTAATATACATACAATGAACATAAACATCATAAGGCGAAGTCTAGCTTGCGCTACTTAACTTAACCTCAACATAAATATAAGCTAAACTGAAATCAATTTAGGTCCTAAAATCCGTTATTTTTAAAATGCAAAAACAAAAAAAATGTATGGAAATTAAAATATAATTAAATAAAGAAAAATGTGTGAAATTAATCATATATTAACGTCAGCACTGTATTCATTGCTCAACTAATAGCAACGTTTTATCATTTTGTTTTAAAAATGTCAGAGAACGTGTCGTAATTTCCCTAGGTAGACTGTTATATATCGAAATGGCGTTATATGTGAAAGATCTTTTGAAAAATAATAATCGGTAATTCTAAATCGTTAAGTTGTGTGAATATCTCAAATGTAAACTGTGCAGATCTTTTCGATATATCGGTTAAGGTTGAAAGAATTCGAAATAGCGTAGCCGCCATCTGATATTTAAATAAATTTCCTATATTGAGCCACTTTCTTTAATTTTATTTGATATTCTATCATACTTTCTGATACCAAATACAAAACGACAACAAGAGTTTTGAATCTTTTGAAGTCTGTATTTGGTTATTTGATCCAAACAAGGATAGTCAATTAAAAGTCCATAATTTAGGATGGATAATACAAGACTTTCACAGAGCAACTTACGTAATTTAAAAATTTGAAACTCAAAATACCTCGATTCCTGTATAATTTTCGAATAATCAGATACAATTTTTTGACTAGAAGCAAAACATAGTCCTGAAACCTTAGTTTGCAGTCATAAATACTTAAATAGTGCCTAAGTTTTGAATATAACATAATGTTGCACATTATGTTTTATATGTGTATGACAAAATAATATTGTATGACTTTACTGGCATTTAGTTTAAGGTTATGATTCATAGGAAATATATATATACTTCATTTAAATCTGAAATTATGTTTTGCGAGGCTATATCTACTTCACATAGTTCAAAGGAATAATATAGTCGCGTGTCGTCAGCAAAAGAGTAAAACACCTAAAGGTTTTTAATATGGGAATCTTATAACTAACGTTTAAGTCAATGTCGCAGTACGCTGATCTGATAATTGATGAATTTAAAACTAAATCTGTCCTATTCGAGAAAATTACATCTAATAGTGTCTGAGAAGTCGTAGTTATACGAGTGGGCTCTGATATTAACTGTGAAAAATTATAAGATTCCATGCAATGATTTATTTGGTTATCAACCAACTGGTTTATGTTTATGTCACCCATAATAAGAATATGAATAATAAAGATGCTCAATGCCCTGTACTGGATTGAAATCACCGATGGTTACTGAAATTTCGAAATATCTAGTATCCAGGTATATAAAAATAGCATGATCTGGAATATCATGAACTAACCACGTATTAGTCATGCAAACTATGTTGAAACTATGTCAATTTTATTTAATGTAACTATATGTCAACAAACATATCAAAGTTAGGGAATAAAGAACGCGCATTAAAATGTACTAACTTTAACTTTTTATTTACAACACTAGCCATAATCAGTCCTAGATTTAAGATTATCTATTCTGTTTAATAAGTAATTACAGTTAGGGCTGTTTGTGGAATGATCAGTGCTAACGTTCAACTTAAACCTAGAATTAAATAATTTACAATTGTTACAACACAACGATTGAGATGTACAAGCATTTTTTTCGTGAGGACCGAAGCATTTGGGACATGACATTTCACTTTGACAGTCTATTTTGTGATGACCAAATTTGCAACATTTAAAGCACTTCGTTAAGCTAAAGTATTCTTTAACAAAACATTTAACCCATACATAAAGGAAACCTTTGTTAGTGATTTCATGAAAGAGTTCAGTGATGTCTCTGGTACCACATTAAAGGCCTCCTTGAACTTCATTTCGGTGATAATTTTTAATTAATTTGTAGTCACATTTAGTTAATTGGCTTCTATAATTTCATTTATTAAATTTGGTTGCTCCACAGATGATGAACTTACATTATGAATCATAAGTCTTGGCTTAAACTTATTTGGTTCAGTAAGGGTGTATGCGTTTCTTACTTTAGAGTTAATACATCTTTTTAAATTATCTAGAGATGCAGAATCACTACAATTCATAAGAATAACATTCTTGATAAGCTTTGTCCCTACCACATTCGCATTTGCAGCACGATTTTGGTTCATTGACCTGACCAATAACACCGAATCAGAATTTACCTTAATTTTGGCAGCAGCTGAGTGACTTTTTATATTCTTATATAATATACACCGTGTCCCACGTAAGGCGGGCATTACAACTTTATGGAGAATAAATTAATTTGTATTTTCGCCATTTTCTGAGTATACATAATCGAATATGCTCTTTTGAATTAAAATAAAATGAACTCTGTGCAACTTCCGGTTATACCGGAAGTGACCACTAACTTCGTTATTTTAAAGGGAATACCCCATATTTTTTTTTAATTTTAGATTCAGTATGAAATTCTGTAAACAACGATACCCCATTTGCCTATTCTAGTTATAGTGGATTTGGCGTTATTCAATTTTTTTCTACATTTTTAGTCGCTGGCAGACATTTTCTTAAAGTCGTCTATCTTAGGTACTATATCTATCAGATACTTAAAATTTTAACCAGAGGTAGTAGATGGGATGTACTTCTTGAGAATATTTAGTTATTCATTATTTGTTGTACGGGGTGTTTGCAAATTATTTTTAAAAATGAAATTTTTTAAACATAAAAAACTTTTTTATTTTAAATTGAACACCCTATATATTTTTTAAATTTAAATTCAGCATGAAATTCTGTAAACAATGATACCCCATTCGCCCATTCTAATTATAGTGTATTTGGCGTTATTCAGTTTTTTATAAACTTTTATATGCCGGCAGACATTTGCTTTTTTAAATTTACTTGTACATCGTTTGTTCGACTGTGTGTTTGGAAATTATTTTAAAAAATAAATATTTTAAACATGAAATTTTTTTTTATTTTAAATGGAAAATCCTGTATATTTTCATTTCATTTTGTTCAGAAAATTATTCTTCATTGATCTTCATATTCACTATTAATTCCCTATAATTATCTCTCGCCAATTTTAAGAAAATTTAAATTTAAATTTTACGCATGCACCTACATAATATAGTATAGTTTTACATTTTAATTTTTTATCTTAGTATGCCGTGGAAATATGCTAAACAACAATCTGTCAACAAACTGAATTGTCATATTTCTATGTATTTAATTTGTGTATTTTTTGCGTTCAAAATATGGAAAATATGGAAAATATTGAAGAATATACCAACCAAGATATTCTTAATTTATTTTACATTCATGGAGAATGTAATTGAATAAAAAGTAGAACCTACCGCATGTTTAATGAACGATACCCTCATTTACCACCAATGAACAGACAGAAATTTGATAGAATCGAAGCTAACTTTTTGAATAATTTTAAACAAAACCCGGGAAGAAACCGTCAACATTATGTCCGAGATGAAGAAGTTAATCTAATTAACGTATTAGGGTATTTTACTGCGTATCCTCACGCCTCCATTAGAATGGCTCAAGATAATTTAAATATTAGTCGAGGGTCAATACAACGAATTTTAGCACTAAATAAATGGCATCCCTATGCACAAAGAAAAGTTCATGAGTTGCGAGATGGTGATCAAATAAGACGAACTGAATTATGCGAATGGTTATTGGTACGAATTCAAGAAGATCCCGAGATTTTAAACAAAATTTTGGTCAGACGAGTCGAAATTTACACGTAAAGGGATCATCAATCGCAAGCAATGTCATTTCTGGGCAAACGAAAATCCACATTTATATCGTGAAGCACAATTTCAGTACGAATTTAGTTTTAATGTGTTTGCAGTGATCGGTTTTGGAAGAGCTTTTTATTACATTTATAATGAGAGACTGACCTCAGAAAGATACATTAGAATTCTTAGAGAAGTAGTTGCCGACATTTTAAACCAGCTACCAAATAATAATTTTTGGTACCAGTTGGATGGTGCCCCAGCACATTCAACATGCTATGTAAATCAAGAAATTACAGCACTCTTTGAAGACCGATGGATAGGTCCAAATGGTCCTTGGCTTTGGTCTGCAAGATCGCCAGATCTAACTCCTGTTGATTTTTTTTATGGGGTCATATTAAAAATTTAGTGTACTCTACCCAAATTAATACTAAAGAAGAATTAGAGCAAAGAGTTCGGAATGCCTTTAACGAGTTAGATGGTGAAATGATTCGTAAAGCAACAACTAATCATGTTGAAAAAAGATTGTTAAAATGTTTAGAAGCTTACGGGGGGCATTTTGAACATTTGATAAAATGATTTTTTTAAACCATGTGCTTTTAATAAAAATTGTTTTTAGTTAGTATGTACCTTATCATTAAAAAAATTTAAACTTTTTAAACGACATATTTTGTTGCAGAAAACTGTAAATGTTTTTAAAAGTACATCCCATCTACTACTTCTGGCTAAAATTTCAAGTATCCAACAGGAATAGTACCTGAGACAGTCGACTTTAAGAAAATGTCTACCGGCGCGACGACTAAAAATTAAAAAAAAATTAATAACGCCAAATCCGCTATAATTAGAATAGGCAAATATGGTATCATTGTTTACAGAATTTCATGCTGAATCCTAAATTTAAAAAATATATAGAGTGTTCCCTTTAAAATAAAAAAGTATAACCGGAAGTTGCACAGAGTTCATTTTATTTTAATTCAAAAGAGCATATTCGATTATGTATACTCAGAAAATGGCGAAAATACAAATTAATTTATTCTCCATAAAGTTGTAATGCCCGCCTTACGTGGGACACGGTGTATAATTAAGTGTTGATACTAAAGGGCGTCAACCCTTGAGTGATTTTAAGAAGTTAATATCAATA